TTTTCTACACAGCACACCTTGCGTATAACCCTTTAGTTCTTCTAGTTTTTAAACTTGAAGAGTCATTTTAACTATTAGGACCTGTAGTTCATATTACTTAAGAAAGAGTTGACTGCAACTCATCGTGGTCCTCTAGGACAGGGCAGCGCCCCGCAGGGTTTCCTAGGCCGTTTTATGGGTGCGGTGTCCTGGATCTTTTTTCCTGTGGAGCTACTGAATGGGTTTGAACCACTGACCTTTTGGTTAGCATGAGCATTTAACCCTTGTGCCACCAAGGCCCCTTAATTGTGAGGCTACCAAAAACCCAAACCACTGCTGGCGGGTTGACTCCTAGCGAGGCTGTAGAGGGTGTCCAAGTCTGTCAACCTTTAAGGGACTGTTCAGCATCACCACCCTCCCTCGGAGTGGCTGGTGGGTTTGAACCATCATCCTGATGGTTAGCAGACCAACATCTAACCACCAGTGCTTCCAGGACCCCTTTAAGTACGAGAGACTAACAGCCAACATTCTAGATTTTTAAGCTTCTTTTTGAACTGGTCAGTCCACATGAAAAGAAAGTGTGGATAACCAAGCTTGCCATACCACACAGGAAGACATGTCATTGGGACGCCAGATGCTCATTCTGTACCAGGTCCCTCTCATTTAAGGGGAAGAAAAGTTGCATCACATGCCACCGGTGATATAGTAGGGAAAAAACTGTTTCTTTTCTCAGCCAAGTGGAGAATTTTTATGATATGTATTTTGAATGATGATGTCCTCTATCTCATTTATGTAGCGACCTCGTGATTAGAAATGCTGATGTTTATAGGTATGTAAACAACAATGTTGGTGATTGCACATACATAAAACTAAAAGAATCACTCTATTTCTTAGTGTCTTATTACCCCAAGACATGAATGAACATAGTATAAAACATCATTAGAAAAGAATGAATTTGGCAAAAAAATATGAAGAAAGTTAATGTCTATGGCTGTATTTAAACACCAGTAAAGGGACAAGGGTGGATCTACTGCAGAAGACCTCTTTAAAATGTGAAGGAAAAGGAAAAAACAACAGAGATGCCCCTTTGAGGACGAAGGTGCATCTGCCCCAGGTCATGTGTTTTCCACGGCTGGGTAATAAGTAAGGAAGACTAAGGAAGAATGGATGCATCGAATGGTGGCCCCTGGTGGAGCCTATTCAATATGACACGGACAGCTGTCTTGGAAGAAATACGATCAGAATGTTCCCAGAAGCCAGCCTGGTGAGACTTCATCTCATGTACTTTTTGCACACGACCAGGCAGGACAAGACCCAGGAGGACGTCATGCTTGGCAGAGTACAAGGTCGTCAGAAAAGAGGAAGACCCTCAATGACATACAGCAGTGGCCACAACGGGATCAAGCACCACAAACATCACCACACCACAAACGTCGCAATTGGCCCCTGAGCGTGCAGAGTCACCACGAGGTGGAACCTGACTCGCAACAACAAATAGACGACCTCTTAGCCAGTGACAGATATTTGGCCCGTTGGGAGCATTTTCTCAAAGCCAAACTATGTCTTCCGAGTATATGATTAATGGAGTGAAAACAGTGCAGAATCTAGGTTTATTTTATTATGCACATAACTGAGTGCGGCAGAAGATGCGACCATTCTGGTTACTTTTGTGAGTTATCAAACGATCTTTTCATAACAGAGCAACTGGCGCTCATTTTTTCTTATTCTTTGTCTTTTAAACAAAAGTTATCAA